TAATTAATTAAACCAATGCTACCGATCGATTAGATACAGATTATGAGTGACAAATTTAGAATAAATAAAGTTTTTCAAAAGTATCTTTTGCAAAACCTCTTTAAGAACAACTTTTGGTAGGAAGAAATCCTGAATCTACTGTACCACACTTCTCGCTTATCTAGAGCTTATTTGATTGAAAATTTGAACTTTATATCTTCTCAACCCAGACCCGAGGAAAAAGTGCTAATCAACCACGAAATAAAAGGACAATTTAAATTGTACGATTTCTTTCGAAAGCTCAGAATCCAGTCTAGCCTTGCCTAGTATTAGAATATTAAGAAATTGATATTTGATGTAAAGTCCAAATTAGACTACTCAACTGCTGTCCACATATTGAATCGAATATTTGAGGATCCAGAATATTTGCTCATTCCTACATTGAAGAAAGCAAACTTTATTATAAATGGATATGATATGCCTGCTAATCAATCTCTGCCGCCTTTCTCTGAGATCAGTGATGAATGGGGAATCAATTTGCGAACTCATGTCAAATTTCACTTATAAAAGGCTCATGTGGCACTTATTGATGACTTATTTCTCCAATGGATATTTGAAATCTCTAATAAGATGACTTTCTACAAATCTAATTGCAAGTACAAGGACATGAGGACTATTGCTAACAGAATTCAAATATTTGGAATACAATTGACTCATATTAACTTTATTCAAGATAATTTAGATGATGGATTATAATTTAACGAATAATGCAAAAAGGATATTACATACACAGGCTTTACGACAAATTAGTTGATGGATACACTCTATGGAACATCAGCTGAAATATCATTTTTCTGCAATCATTTGATAATTGATGTTGATGATATGATTCTAAGAAATTTTTTGCGGTAATTTCAAATTATTTAAAAAGATAGACTCATTAAAATAAGCCTATTAGATGTTCTATACTGGAATCAGATAGAACTGATTCTTGATTGTATAATGCAGGCTGCATCTCACGTATAAATTGATAAATATGAAAGGTAATCTAGAAATGCTTCCTAACAAAGCCTCTATTCACCTCACAGACTTCGAAATTTGAATAAATCCTTCAAGTTAAAGTATTTAGATCTAAGCTTGCTTAACGACTCACAAAAATATGAATAAATTCTATAGAGATATTCGTTTAGCGCAACTGAATTCAAAATCAGCTCAGAGATTAACAAAAATCAAAATAATCTGCTATGTTAAATGGAACATTCATTTTTAGGAAAGGATAAATGCTTACATTTTATAGTAGATGAGTATCTTGATTTGTAGGATTTCGTCAAATATAGAGATGAAATTGTAATTCAAAATTTAATTCTAGAATTTTCCAAACTTTATTTTTCTAAGCTTAGCAATGTCAAAGTCGAGTTTATGATTTATTTCACCAAATTCATGAGCAAAGTAAATATCTGTCACCTGTATTACCTAAATTTAGAAAAATTCATTGATTTTAAAATTGAAGTTAATGAAGCAGGCAAGTTCTTCGCTTGTTTATCAAAGTTTACTAATTTAAGGTAGTTAGCAATACCTCTGAAAGTCTCCTGGTATAATAGATCGGTTCAAATTAATATGTAAAAACTAAAAAAACTAGAAATTTTATAGATCTATCAACCAATTGAAGAGGAAAATTTACTGACACATTACAAGGATGAGTAACTGATAATAAAATTCTTTATTGGAAGTAACTTTCCAAATATGAAACAACTTAATTTGAAAGGAGTATGGCAGATTAGTTTTGAAAAAGTATAGAAGATTCTATAAAACCAAATTAAAGCAACAAAGGTATTAATTGAAAATAGAAAGATCAATGAGCTTTAATAACTTAAAACTTGCAATAGCAATCACTATGTTTTAAATATTTATGATGAAAGTTAAAATATGCTTTGAAAATGAAATACCAATAAGTTATTAAGTATTTTAATTAAAATCTTTGATTCAAATACTTTACTCTTATTTTTCAAATGGGGTTTTGGGGTTTTGGGG